TGTAAATTGGCTATAAGATGTAGTACATTTATGCTAGGTGTCATCTATTGAAGCTCAATCTGCTTAGCTGATGACTTTGTTTTAGAGCACATTCATCTTTGGAGTGAAAATACCAGATGCTTGATAATAGGAGACTTTAACGCACCTGATATTAGTTGGACTGATATGACCACAGAAGGATCTATAAACTCCTTTGATACTAGGTTCCTGATAACAATAATGGAGCATGCACTAGTGCATCATGTATCCCAACCCACACGTTTTGGTGTTAACAAGGGTTCTTCTCTGCTGAATTTAGTAATCACTCATGAGACTGAGGATATTGTCGACTTAAATATTCTCCCACCGTTAGTGAACAGCGATCACGCTGTTTTGTCATTCGCGTTTCGAACTAGGGACATGTTATACGATCAGGTTACACCTCGCCCAAATGTATGGAAAGCTAACATATCAGCCATTCAGGAATGCGCTGCTAAGACAAATTGGTTAGTAGATACTAGCATATCAGTTGAAGAAGCATGGTCTGTATTTAAAGGTAAATTTAGACTAGTTACGTCCCCGTTCATACCATACCTGGTACCGCGAAGACCGAATAATATTCCACCATGGATAACTAAAACGGTCAGGAAACTCCTTAGAGAAAGGAAGAATCACTGGATTATGTTCATCTCTACTGGCTTAGAACAATACAGATCCAGTTATTGTAAGATTTGGAATGCCTGTAAAGCGTTAATAAGCAAAACTAGACTATCATACGAAAAACAATTGGTTAGGGATTCTACATATAGTCCGAAACGGTTATTCTCGTATATAAAAAGGAGAACTAAGAGAAGCGATGGAATTCCATCACTTTGATACGAGATAATCCGTTAATCTTAGCAGAAAATGATGCCGAAAAAGCTGAAGCTTTATCGGAATATTTTAGTAAAGTGTTTTCTATCGGTAATGAAGGACGACCAATGATTCATCGCGACCGTGACGGCTCGTTGATGGATCCTGTAGTCATTGAGAAAGATACTGTTTTAAGGCTACTTCAGCATCTCAAACCTGATAAGTCAAGTGGTCCTGATGATATTCATCCTAGGATTATGAAGGCCATATCAGATGAAATTGCTGAACCATTAGCGATACTATTCTACATGTCTCTGAGACAGTCCAGACTTCCTAGAGACTGGAAAGACGCCATAATAAGCCCGGTGTATAAGCCTGGGTGTAGGGATTTAGTTAGTTACTATAGACCCGTTAGCTTAACTAGTGCAGTTGTAAAACTGGAGAAAATCATTCGAATAGCTGTTATAAACTATTTTGAAGGGCAAAATCTTTTTTTCAGGGCACAACATGGTTTTCGGAAAGGCCTATCTTGCTTGACAAATTTTCTCATTGCACGAGAAGATTGGGCTGCGGCAAAGGATCGGAATGCTCGTGTGGATGTGATTTTCATAGATCTAAGTAAAGCCTTTGATAAGGTTTCCCACTCTGGTCTTAAATTCAAACTGAAACGTTTTGGAATCCATTATACAGTCGTCGATTGGATAAGTAACTTTCTCCATGACAGGAGACAAAGGGTAAGGGTTAATGGTACAAAGTCTATCTGGCCTATCTTATGAAAACAGACTGAGACACCTTAACTTATTTCCGTTATCTTACCGTAGAATACGGGGTGATCTAATATTGGCCTATCGTATACTGAACGATGACCTTGATATCAACATGTCTTATCTTTTGCTTCCGTCTAGAACCGATCATTTGAGAGGACATTCGAAGAAAGTTCAAAAAACGAGATCAAACCGTTTATGTCTGCAGTTCCGTTTCTCGCACCGAGTAGTGAATTACTGGAATTCTCTACCGGAACACGTAATATCAGCACCGTCTGTTAATATATTAAAAACGAGATTGAACCTCCACAGTATTACAAACTGCAAGGATTAATATAGGTCGACAGACCTATCCTTATTACTGAAAACTGAACTAAAATCTCTTAACTAGATAGAAAATTTAGGGTTTCTGTAGCTGAAAAAATCTCTAGCACTTAAGTGCTGTTCAGCACTTTTATTATTAGGGGAAGATTGTTTATGATGTCAATAAATAAAGAGTGTGAAAACTCTCAAATGACAGTGAAAGGTCAAAGAAATCGGTTGGTATCTACTAGCTCATAAAAGAATGTGATCTAAGTGAATGCTAAATATAAGCACAGAGTCCTCAGCTCCCACGCGTTTCGATTACTATTGCTATTACTACTACTACTGTTACTGCATTATGTGTTATAACTAACCTCTTCTGATTGGCATTTAAATTTAATAAAATCAAATATCTTCCTTAAAACCATTTTCAGGCTTTTCTTTTGATATAGGAAACCATACAACTAATCGACAAATTCTCTTGCTACTCATTCATAGCCTCAAAATATAACTAACCAGGCCACATATCTCTACTCGCCTTGGTGATGTTAAGTATAGAAATTTGGGCAGACGGATACGTTTGTTAGGTTTTATGTCATTCATGTTTGCTTTTGTGTACCGATATCCACTTATCTGCCAGAATCCAGGATAATTACACGGAAATAGACTTTTTGTAAGTCCTTTTTGTCCTCCACGGTACGTCTTTGTCTCGTTTGCTTTTGATAGTTACAAGTAGTAAGATGCGTTTATAAATTTTGTTTTCAAATAGAATTTCGTACGAAATTTATGATAGTTGGACAAATCACTTTTAACTGTAATTTATTATATTTCTCTCCACGTTACTGCCCTGGAGCGATAGATTGGTTATTAAGACACTAGTTCTAACCACCAAGTCTCGGGTCCATTTACCACAACTTGTACTTTCGTTTGTGAACTCGGGTAGTATCGTTACCTTTCAGAGAATATGTACCTCAAATTCGAGTATCTAAACTTTTATCTTCTAAAACGTTATATGAGCCTAATTATTTTGCTTGAAAAATACTTTATTCATGTTGTAATTTTACATGGTGGGCTTTGTGCACAACTTGTTACGTTACAATTTATGGCTTTTGCATTGCACTGAAGTGTTTATTTATTGTTTTTGCTCACAATTCGTAGCAGAACTAAGTTATGATGTCAAGTGAAGTGATAGGAATTCAGAAGACGGTGATACATGTGTTAGGTAATAATCGTTCCTACGACACTTATACTATTTCAATATTTCTCAGTTGTTTCTACTTTAAACAAATAAATGTCTCGAGACTCAGTTCTCCTGGACAGATTGTTTGCTTGAGTATCTTAATCAACAAACAGATCAAAGCTGTAGTTCTTGAATTTCGACTAACGTTCATAAATCATCAGTTATTTCTTCGTGTTTATTATAGTGATTTTTTATGGTACCTCCATGCTATACTTTTCAATGTGTTAAATGCTTGAAAATATCAAAACTTCCAGAAACTGTTAAAAGGCCTTCAAGTTCATCAAAGTGATTAAACAATCCTTTATTTGAGGAGTAATGTTATAGTAAAAGTTTTGTATATTTACGGTTGAGGCTTCTGAAATATTAAATGTGCAGTCACCATTCCATAACCACATGACGAAAAAGTAGTGTTGAGTTGTGATGAACTAGTAAATATTATACTTTGGTAAATACTTTATGATGGGTCTATATTTCTCTTTTTGATTGCACTAAAGATCAGTAAATAACTGGAACTACTCGGTATAACCATTTACTTCGTAAGTTTCGTGTAGGGTTTTCGTTGAACTCCAGTTTTAGTTGCCCATACTCAGACTACGATTTCATGGATCTCCTGGTATTTTACAATAACTGACTTTTAAATTTGATCCGACTCTTTAATGTTACTAAGCCATAATCAATGTTGTTTAGCTGTCTCGGATTTGGTAATTTCGAAGACATTAATGTTTGACTTTGTGTTATGAAGATGTGCCCATAGTGCAAATGTTTGCTAATTACTTGGAACAGTTTCACGTGACCTTATTTGTGAAGTTATTTTACTCCTAACTTCTTATTCTAGGATGTGAACCACCTATCAAAACGTTTAAATTTTGAGGCTAGTGCACTCCATTAGCTCTTATGTATAAAACTCAATCAGAAACTAGAACGTTTTATGTCCCAAACTGGGTTTGGAGGTGTAAGTATGAATACTTGTACTGTAGGGATTACCATAACCTTTTGTATCGTGTGTAGTAAATTCGAAAACTTAAGTTTCTTATTTTATGCTAACAGTCGTCGGTTCTGGGCACTATGACACGAAATTTAGATTTAGTACTCATTGATGTCGGTCATACTACTCACCGACTAAGTTTTACCGGAATGACAATCTTTCCGCTGGCAAAACTCGGTCAATTAGTTATGTTATCAGAGATTTGTTTCTGTACTTTATTGTAAGTCTACTAAATGCCTGACTTCTTGCTACTAAGAAGTCTAAATTTTCATTTTACTAGTAATTTACAGAATCTAATTATTCTGTAACTACTGGTTAACAGTGATTAGGCTACTCAGTTATTCTGTAGTAATAAGCAACACATTTTTTGGTATCGTAAATCTGCTTTGAAATTACTTTGAAAATATATTCCATACTTGTTTTTATTTATTAGATATCATATACTCCATTTACTTGTGTAATATGTTTTATTTTTGCTATACTGGACTTGTTAACATAAAGTATTTGTTCATATGTGGATTAGTTAGATAAAACAAGCTCAAACTTTTGTGCTTCTTTAAATGATTATGTTGTGGGTGGTTTAATTGTACAATAGTAGTATCACAAGTTCACTATAAAGTTTTTAATTTTCTAACTTTTCAGAACTGGCTTTTATGACGCAATGGAGAAGCAGAAAAGTAATTATTTTAACAAAATAGTGTATAGACGACATTTCTCAAGAAAACAAACCTTGGATTTTATGTTTTTCTTTACATTATCTTTGATTCTTGTTACATCAACTTCATATTTAGTTTATATTAATCAGGGCCTGAGTTTAAACTATTTTGAATATCCGCTTAATGTGGATTTGTACGTGATATATGAAAATGAGTTCAAAATGATGAACAACAAGGCATCGGTTAAACCTATAAATCCTGTTAAATTTAACGCAATTCTCCAACCAATACATTCTTGTAAATTGTCCAATGAATCTGATGCTTCACCAGATCTAGTTATTTTTGTCAAATCAGCATTGTTACACTTCGAATCACGTAATAATATACGCCAATCTTGGGGTAATTCAAACTGTTTCCGTTATTTCGGAGTGCGTGCTCGAACTCTTTTTATTCTCGGTAGATCAGGTTCCGCCGATTGGGAGCATTCCAGTACTCAAAATCTGGTATTACAGGAACATTTAAAGCATAACGATATAGTTCAGTTTGATTTCATTGAGGACTATCATAATGTTACGTATAAGCTGATAGCGACATTAGACTTTGGTATCAATGAATGTTCCTCTCCTCGATTTTTCACTTTGATTGACGACGATTTCATATTGCATCCGTCTAATTTGCTTCGGACACTTGCTGAAGTTACTGAAACTCAGTATTTGAACTATATAGCTGGTGATGTGTTGCGTATCTCCAAACCGATGAGGTTCCCGTTCAATAAATGGTATATATCCTACTCAGACTATCCATACAGTTTGTATCCACCCTTTCCTACTGGCGGAACTATTATTCTTAGCATGCCTGTTGCAAAGCTTCTTTCCGTTGGTCTGAGATATACCAAATTACTTCCTTTTGAAGATGTTGTAATCGGCCTTGTATTATATAAACTGGGTATTAGCCCTGTACATTTGGATGGTGTTCTTGCAGTTCGTCAACCAGACGATCATATTGGTGATCTCATAAGTATTCATGGGTATGGTGATAGTTCCTTTTCTTTATCTAGTTGGAATAAGCTTGGTTTACAGTGGGGTTAGGTAGGGTTGTCCAATCCCACCATTCCTCTTTAACTTTGCCATCGATGACATACTGGAAACAGCTCTGATAGCCGTAAGTAATGGCGGTGTGGATCTGTTGCCTGGAAAAAGACTTCTCGACCTTGAGTATGTGGATGATATTGTCTTACTGTGTGACAATGCCCAAGGCATGCAATCCGCACTTAATCAGTTGGCAATCAGTGTCCGTAGGTATGGTATGTGCTTTGCACCTTCGAAGTGCAAAGTACTTCTACAAGACTGGCAGGATTCTAATCCTGTACTCACTCTGGATGGTGAACAGATAGAAGTAGTCGAGAAGTTCGTGTATTCGGGTAGCTGCATAAGTGCTGGTGGTGGCGTGAGTGATGAGATCAATGCACATATAGTGAAAGCCAGAGTGGCTTATGCCAATCTGGGCCATCTTTGGTGCCTTCGTGATGTTAGTCTGGCTGTGAAAGCTCAGATCTACAACGCGTCGGAGAGAGCAGTTTTGCTTTATGCTTGTGAAACCTGGCCTCTCCTAGTTGACGATGTTAGACGACTCTCTGTGTTCGATCATCGTTGTCTCCGAAGGATGGCTGACGTCCACTGGCAACATCATCTTAGTAATGCAGAGGTTCGGCATCGTGTGTTCGGGCACAGAGACGATAATGCATTTGGTGTCAATATCTTGAAACACCGACTTCGGTGGCTTAGACATGTTCTACGAATGTCGTTCCAGAGAATTCCACGTCGTGCATTATTTGCCGACGCTGGGACTAATTGGAAAAAGCGGAGAGCTGATCAGTGCATGACATGGTGTCGTGGTATGAAAGAAAGCTGCAAAGGGCTGACTTGTGTTGGTCCTTCACTACTCCCTGGTTGGGGTCCGAGAGATGGTGCAACAGTGGCTAGAGACGTTATCAGATATGGCTCAGAATAGAAGACAGTGACGGTCCTGCTGTAAACTTCTTTTACTTTATTCATAAAAAAATGGTTGTTTCTTTCTTAACTGAAAGATTAATTTCGATTGTACATTTCCGTTTCCCTCATTATTACTATTATTATTATTACACTACATTACACTAATCTGTTCGTTATTGTTCTTTTTTTCTTCGAATTCTCATTGTTTTGTGTGTCGCATATACATTTGGTGCCCTCTTGTACCAATATTTGTGTTCAAATAAATAAATAAATATAGACTGTAGCAGTTACAGATGTTAAAAGTCTATAACTACTAACATTAAAATAGTCAGCATTAAATGTACAACACTAAATTCTTGTCATTAGATTGTCGATGAGGTTGCGGTGAGTCTAAAACATCAAGGAGGGGGCTTCTTCTGAACTTCAGAAATACCTTTGCGAAATGCTTCTTTCACTTGGCTAATAAGACCAGTCCAATCATGTGTCTGCTTTGCAGATGAATCAAGCACTATATAATGGGTTAGAAATTGTGTAACGACTCACTTTTCTCTTTTGCTTTCAGAAACATGCGTACTGTTGCGCGAGCGACATATCTCATAGGTTTACTATCTGCCAACTTAAATAATAAATTCGCAGCAAAAATTCAAACCTTTCGTGTCAGTTCAGGATTAGAAAAATAGGTTCTAAATATCAATGTTAGTAATACACGTATTCTGCTTACATTAGTATGCGTACCCACATCATATTTGTTCACGTGTTTTTGCCCTTTGGGTGTGACACACAGTCAGACTGTCTTAAACGCTTCGAAAACTGATACTGTCTGTAAACTAAAAATAAAAAAGTTAATCACTCGAAAGAATAAAGAGGATATTTCGAAATTCGAGTCCAAACTATAAACGTAACTATCACGTATTGATGAACAAAGCAGCTTAACTATCAATAGTTTACACCGCGTAAAATTATGTTTGGTTACTATTGAAAATTTTCAAAGTATTCCAGCACCCTTTTCCTAAAACATAACCTGTTTATTTATATATTTGCACAATTAGCAGTCTAGATACACTAGCTGTTTAAAAATTCATACTTTTTGTAGCATTGAATAGGAAGCAAACTAAATACTCTTGAATGACTTTACAGATTAGATAGCCTATCTATTAGTTATGTCGTCCGACCAATCCCCTTACGTTACAAATACCAGAGTCACAAAATCCCAAATCTCCTATGCATATTAAAAAAAAGCTAAAAATGGAGCTTCTGTTGAATTCCTGTTTCGCAAGGCCTCATCAACAACTTGATATTACAATAAAGAAAATTGGTTGAGCAAAGAGTTCTCTTTTCGGAGAATTCATTTTCAAGGTTGTACAATTGCAAATATGTAGTGATTTTTCAAAATGGTAATAATTGAAAATAGGAGTTATATGGTAACAGTAAGGTAGAATAAATGAAGGTATGAGATTTTTTTACTAAGGAAACTAATAATTAGTCCCAAGCAAAATTTAATTATATTCCTCACTAGATGGATACGAAGAATTTATAGTCTTAAGGTCAGAGACAACGAAATAAGAGTACCTAAACTAAAACTTATCGAAAATGGGTATCCATCGATATTTATTGCCAAAAATATAAAAGTCAAACCGCCCAAATCACAGGTAACCTCCGTAGAAAAGAAAACGCTTTATATGAATATCGATTTCAATGATGATATAGATGCACATATCATGAAAAGGAGAATTTCCGACACTCAATAGAATATTCTTCGTGGAAACTTTGCGAATGTAGTTCCCTAGCCGATCAATGTTCACCAATAATTTTAAGGAAAAATTATCGCACTTGATCAATTTTATGTATGTTTATCAAGTTACGTGTTTATGTGGAGCCATGTATGTAGGTTGTCCGATGCATACTTTGTCTAAAAAAATCGACATTACGCAGGTTGATTGAAGTGGTGGGAATGGCTCAATAAGGGGTTCATTAGTCGAACATCTTGTGAACACAGATCATTTAATCAAAACCGACTCTGTATTTAAAGTCATTTACAAGGCGAGTAAAAAGCTGCCAAAGGCAGTTATATTTCATTTTATTAATACCGCCGAAGCACTAGCTATACACCTGGAAAAATCAGAATTGTCCAAAAGAAACTGGTACAAACTTTTGCTCTACCGTGGTCTTAATCGCTCGTAACTTTTCACTCTCTCTATTCTTCTTCCACAGCCATCTACTTTTCTTCTATCTTTTCTACCGACCTTTCACCTCCAACTGATTTGTTTGTTTCTATGATCTTTTTGACTACAGTTCATCTCAATTTTAAAATTTCATCAGATCACGCTGAGCCTTCCATTCCTAATTATAATTCCCTTATTTATGTTCACGATGAATGTTCAAGCTCTCAAGAGCGATGCTATCATTAGCTTACTAACGCTTTTATGCTTTTATTTATTCTACCTCATTGTTACCATATTTACCAGAATTTTATTACTCCTAATATCAATCATTGACATTTTAAAAAACAAGTATGCATTTGCGATTGTACAACTTTGGAAATGAATTCGCCGAAAAGAGAACTTTGCTGAACCACTCTTTCCCGTTTTATGTCTTAACAGTATAGTCCATTTGCTTGTTATCATACAGGTAAACACAGAATAAACCGACATTAATCCAGTCTTATCAAGCATTACAAACATGTTGTGTTCTTACCGAACGGATCGCGTTAACACTATGTGGAAATAAGGAGAATATGAAATGTGTTTAGGATACACATATTTCATGTATCTGAATATTAAACGGCAGTTAAACAACGAAATTAGTGAATAGATAGTGTTGAAAGTAATAACAGCAACTCAGACTGTTTGGATGTTTTTATAAGCTCTGGACGAAATATATTATATACACATGAACGTACTATCACACATGTATAAACAGGCCTAAGATTAAAAGTGAATAGTTAGAAAAGCCAAATCATAGTATACAGAATAGTCAACAAGATCAAAATAACTCGTCTGTTCAAAAGTAAAAATAAGTTTATGCGGGCCCTATAATAAAGTCACCATTAGGTGTTTAGGCACACATACCCTAATCACCTCGATTGATAAAGATTTGCCAACTAATCACTCGACTGATAATCTTTTCCGAGTGCCCTATGTCTAACCTTAACATTGTTTACTCAGTTGTTACTCAAGAAGCACCAGAGATCATCATTATCGTAACTGGGATAAACGTTGTGGGAAAACGAAATGAAACCAAGATAAGACCTCAATCACCGAACTCAGCTGTGTACGGAAAGATAGACTTTCTAATTTGTGGCCTTGTGACAATTGTTACTAGTAGTTTTAAACGCAAAATAACATGGTTTGGATTCAGTAGGAATAGTTTAGATGCATCTATATTTGGTCTTCCACTGGATTTTAAATCCCAGTACTGATAAAAAGTTCCTATTTCTTAAATAAATTCCTTATTTATACCATATTACCTACATCAGGTTATTTTTGCAAGGACAGACTAATGTTACGTCTGCTAATTTTACTATGCCTTTCGTGAATGTTATCTGTGATGTGTAGAAAATAGAGACAATAAAAATTCGCGCCATATCCTTCGTTGTTTTAGTGATTGTCAAATCACGTGTTTGTGCTTTTGGCTCTTCATAAAATCTTATCTTGTGCAGCAAAATTATTAAGACTTTAATAAACCGAAGATTTTTGTAATAAACAGGTGTGAATGAATCAGAAGCATTTAAAAGACGAAAAAACTTGAAATAAACATTCATCACCGTATTGCGAAAAAATGAGAAGGTGAACAATCATAGCTACAAGTCACAGTGGTTTATTACATTGTCTGTAGTTAATCTGGTCTTTGCGAAAGACACGAGTTACTTTAGAGACGAAATCAGAAAAGTTTAGATATCTCCTGCATTCTGGTGACATTAGCACCCACTCTACATCATGATTTTGTATTGTAGCAATCTAAAATCATAAATCAATCTTGTTGCAAATAGCCAGGACATTTTATTTTCACAAATAATTAGCAATCTTAATGACAGAACGTAAACAAGAGATCCAAATACCTGAGTTCGAAAACAACTCCCATTACACTAAACAGGTGTT